CTTTATAACTGGGCATGTTTGCTAAATTAATCGTGATGCCTGTCTCCTGCCCAGGTTGCAGATTACTTGATTAGGGGCTGGAAGAGGGAAAAACAGCATAGGTGAAGTTAAAGAATAAGCTGGGCCTTTTAGCAAGCTAAAGTAAATCTTACAATGGCATGACTTAATTGACACAATGAAGACATGGGCTGCGCTCAGATACTTTTCTTCATCTGGGGAATATTTGGACATTCCAAGTTACTCCTGGCCTTTGGAGCTTCAACTGATTAAGTCATTAACTCTAGTCTGTAGTTTTATCTGGTTAACTCTTTGAGTCCCTTTTAGTGAGCTTTACTGGCCTTAATTCTCTCTCCACCCTGCTTGTTTCTACTCTTCTGCCTAACAACTTCATACCTGTTCCACTGCTACCCACTCAATGTTCCAAGATTTAGAGGGCCAAGTAAGATGACAGAATTATGTAATGTTTTCTAAGACTGAGGGTGTGCAGTGTGCCATGAATTGTTTGTGATGGGGTTGACCTTTATAAAAGCCCTATTTAATTACCCAGGAAAAATAAAAATCTTCTAACTATTGTCAATAAACAGCCTCAAACATGGTTATACCCAATTAAGAGCACAGGGAAATGGAAAAGGCACCAAGTCAGAGAGAGAATGCCCAGCTTTTCTCTCACACATCTCATTGATATGAGTTTTATGACTGTGTGTCTTCAAAAGCCTGCCAAAACCTAGTAACTGCTCTAAATGGACAAGGGTCATCTTCAGCTTGTGGTTATCTCAGTAAAACTCCAGCTGTTTTTTAATGGCACAACTTTATAAGGTTTCTGACTTTCATTGTAAAGGTAAAGGACTCTGAAGCCACCTTTGGACCAAATCCTTAAAATGCATAGAATTGTATTTTACAAACTCCTTTCCCTTCTATCCTCATGAAATCCATATCTTCTGAATTAGACCCTATCTGTATTTAAGAAAAAATACAGAGAAAACTTGACCTGATTTAAACCAACACTTTTCCTAGTCCACTTGTATAATCATTCAGCAAATATTTATCAAGAATCTAGTATGTGGTAGATACTGAACTAGCAATTGGGAATATAGGTATTAATAAACACAATCAGATAAGGACTTCCTTAACACCCAACAGCATTCCCTATGCTAAGCTATTGTATCTCTTCACCCAGTCTTCTGTGTTCTACATATCCTAAGAATATTGTGTTGTGTAGATTGGAAGTTGCACTGGTCAGTGTGGAATTTGTAGTCCAGACATTAGTGGGGGTGATTTGGTTTCATAGGCAGATGTAATGGACATTTGTCAAATTTTGGCTTCTGATCATTTGAATCCCCTTTTTCATATTTGTAGTCCTCTGTGAGTCTAGTGGGAAGTTAAAGCCTGTCTCTGCAAATAAGCTGAGTAGACCTGAAATTCACTTTCCTTGTCTCCATCACAGCTAGGGCACAGCATGTAACTTGGATTCAATCAGATATACCCAGTCTAGACCTTAAATTAAGATCTAATGACAAGAAAAAGCAAGGACAGCAAACAGTCTTTTCCTTTCTTTTTAAAAAATAAACTTTATTTCCCAGGTCAGTTTTGCATTTACAGAAAAATTGAGAAGATGTTGTATAGTGACTTCCCATATACACCCAACACACGTTTTCCTTCTTATTGACATCTTACATTGTTATGGTACAGTATAGTTGCTCTAATTATGAAAATAACTGATATCTTATAATTATCAAAAGTCCATATTTTATTTGTATTTCCTTTCTTTTTTACTGTATATCCTTTCTCCTTTATTTTTTTATTTTTTACAGTATGTCCTTTTTCTGATCCAGGATCCCATCCAGGATAGCATATTACATTTCATTGTCATGTCTCCTGGGGCTCCTCTTGGCTGTGACAGTTTCTCAGACTCGTTTCTCATGACCTTGATAGTTTTGAGGAGTCCTGGTCATATATTTTATAGGAATCCCATCTATTAGAATATGATGTTTCATGAATTTTAAGTTGAATTTGTCTCATGATTAGACTGAGGTTATGGGTTTGGGCAAGGAAGATAACAGAGATAAAGTATTATTTTCCATCACATCACCTCAAGGGTACATACTACAGACGTGACATCACTACTGATGTTAATCTTGATCATCTGACTGAGGAGGGTTTGTCCCCAATTTCTTTTCTCTTTTTCTATCAGTGACAAGGAAGTAGCATCTGATGCCATCGCCAACGTAAATTGTGCCATCTATTGCTAAATGGCAGTCACACTCTCATCAGACCCATTCTGTGATAGTAGTTTGAACCATGGTTCTGACTGTAGGGCTGAAATTGCCTTTATTTTAGTATTGTTTCTCTGAGCTTAAATCACGTAGAGCTGGTTCTGTTACCTGCAACTAAGAACCCTGACTTATACTTCATCGTTATTATGATTTTTGGGTGTATGTGCGAATTTTTTCTTTAGAAAGGTTTTCTGGCCTTTTATTCTCTCTCTCCCTCCATAGCAGAAGAGGTAGTCTTTTTTTTTGTAAGTATAGTTGATAAGCAATATTGTAATGTTTTCAGATGTACAACATAACAATTTGGCAATTATTAACATTACGAAATGCTCACCACATTAGTGTAGTTACAATCTGTAACCATACAAAGTTGTTGCAATATTATCGAATATATTCCCTATGTTGTACTTTTTACCCTGTGACTTATTTATGTTATAATCGGAAGTTTGTAGGAGAGGTAGAGGTTTTTAGTAGTAGTAGTAGGAATGTGAAAAGGCCCCACTAGCAACGAGTTTGGTGGAATGAATGGGAGCATGATTCTTTCAGCGTTTGTTACCCATTGCTCCATAAGAAACCATCTCAAACCTTAGTGTCTTAAAAAAGCAACAATTTTATTTTGCTCAGGATTGTCTTGGTTCAGAATTTGGACATGGGTCTAGCAACTATCAGCAATAGCAGTTTCTAAGATGTGGCCGTGGGAGTGAATGTCTGACATCATTAGAAGAAAGAAGATTAAGGAATTTTAAGAGTGCAGAATATTTGAATATTTCATTCTATGTGAAAATTAAAATAACCAAGATCTGTAACAGGAGCAGTGTGTTGGGAAAAGTGGCAGTGAGCCAGGGGTGAAAAAGTCCTCAAGGAAGTGGGGAGCAACATAGGAATCCAAAATAAAAAATTTTTAAATACCCCCAACCCCACTATTCCAGCCATATCTTATTTCTTCCTCTTTCCTCATAGTGCCACTTCTCTGAATCAGTGTCCACATCTACACCTTCTTATATTTGTTCCTGTTACTGAAAGAGTTTTCATCTAGGTCATCACTGGCAGCCAAGTCATCAACTTCCACTATTAATGTTTTGTCTCTGTCTATATCACCTCAACTACCACATGTAGTCTGAATAAAGGTTTTCTCTTAATCTTCACACCCTAGATTAGTTTTCTTATTGTGCAGCTCCAGTTATTTTAAAAGGATAGTAACAAATGCAAAAATGTATATTATAAGACATTATGGATCAGTCATTGCTCTGGGTACAGAGTTGGACAAGATAAAATTCAGTAAAGCCAATAAACGGTTTTAAAATGAGTGGATGGATGCACGAATACAGAATAAAAGGACTAAGAAGTTTAGTTACTAAATCTCTCTTCACTGGGAAGGTCTTCTACTGCAGAGTCAGTCTGAGGTCTGTTGCTCATGGAGACATGTTCATGGTAACTGTAGAATGGTTACCATGGAATCCCCTCTAAACATGTGATCGGTTAAAAGTTGGGTAAGAGGCAAAGGGCTATCAGCCAGTTTATTTGAACTGAGGGCTTAAGGAAACCTAAAGTAGACTTCAGAATTGTATATTCTGGAGAAGCTGAGCTACAAAGAGATGTGGTTATAGGCATCTAAGCTAATGGAGTGGTCAGCATAGGATTGGTAACACCAATTTCTAAAATTCTAATTTCTCTTTTGCCTTCAGAAGAGATATTCATTGAGTAAATTGGGTCCATTCAAAGGAGGATGGCTAGAATGAATACATGGTACCAAAGCATGTTAGAAAAAGGAATTTAAAAGGAACAAGTAGGCAGTTGGCTGTGAAAATTGAATTTGGGCAAATACAGAAACTGACTTCAAATAGGTGTGGTGCAGAAGATAATGAAAATTGTTCTAGGAGTAAAACTAAGGAAAGTAAATTGGAGATATAGGAAAATTTATTTTTTGACTTATGGTTAAGAAAGACCTTTCTAATAGTCAAACACTATCTGTATATGAAAGGGAATGATCCAAGAGAGGAGGGAGCTAAATCATTCTTGTTAGGCAAATGCTGGACAGTTATTCAATAGAAATAGTATGCTATGGTTTAAGCTTCAGATAAATGTTTGGATGAGATGACTTCCCAATTAGATTGAATTCCCTTTTTTATTCTGATAGTCTTGCTTACATGCAATTTTGGGTCATGATACAAAAAAACTCATTTTTCTGGAGCTTTCAGGAGAGAACATCATGAACTATGACGTATTACTGCCTCTGGTATCTTTTGACAAGCTGAAGTGCTCTGCACCGTGAGTGATCCCCACAAAAAAGACTCTTCTAGATGTGTTGATTGTTTTAATCAGAGCCTGTTCCTCGGTTTGTAAGATGGACATCTAAACTTGAAATGTCTTTGATTTAGAGTCAACATGTGTATGCAACACATATTAGATGTTATTTCATATTATCCAGTTTAAGCCACTTAGATTCTATTGTGATCATGCTTAAAACATGTCCAAGTTAGCTGAATTAACCACACACTCCTTCAAAATAGCACTTGATGCTTTTCATAATCAAGAAAAAGCTAACTTTTCATCCTTTTATTTCTTCCCTATGTTGTGGCTTAGGGTGGAGTATTCACAGTTTCTAGAACATGTCTTTCACTTTAATGCTTCTTCCTGAAATGACCTAATTCATAGCTGCCTACCAAAATCCTGCTCCTCTTGTAAGGATGTTACCATAGCTTTAAAAATCAGACCTAGAGGTCACTGTCTCTAAGAAAAGGACTTCCTTCCAGCTAATTTCCTGAGAGCCCCTTTGACATCCTTGTTTCTCAGGCTATAGATTATGGGGTTCAACATTGGAGTCACCACTGTATAGAACACAGATATCATCTTATCCCGCTCTTTTGTGGTCTTGGAGTTTGGCCTCATGTAGGTGAATATTCCTGATCCATAGAAGAGGACAACGACCATGAGATGGGAGCCACAGGTAGAGAAAGCCTTGAGCCTCCCTTCCCCAGACTGCATCTGGATCACAGTGGAGATGATATGCCAGTAGGAGACAAGGATCAGGGAGACAGGAGCCAGGAGGATGACCACGCCCATTGCAAAGATGGCCATCTCTGTGCTGTAGGTATCAGCTGAAGCCAGCTTCAGAAGGGCAGGAGGTTCACAAAAGTAGTGGTTGATAATGTTCAGCCCTCGGTAGGGAAGTTGGAAAGTAAAGATGGTATCCACCAGAGAGACTAGTGCCCCGCTGACCCAGGACCCTATGGCCAGCTGGAGACACACCTGTTGGGTCATGATGGTGGAGTAGTGCAGGGGCTTGCAGACAGCCACGTAGCGGTCATAGGACATCACTGCCAGCAGGGCACACTCTGTACAGCCAACCAGAAGGAAGACAACTATCTGTGTCATACACCCAAAAAAAGAAATAGTTTTCCTCTTTACAAGGAAGTGGACCAACACTTGAGGGACGATGCTAGTAGAGAAACAGAGATCTGCGAAAGAGAGGTTTCTCAGAAAAAAGTACATGGGAGTATGAAGTTGAGAATCCATGAAGATGAGAATGATGATGAGCAGGTTTCCAAGCACAGTCAATAGATAAATGATGAGAAAAAGAATAAATAGCAGACTCTGGGTCTGCAAGTCCTGCGAAAGGCCCAAGAAGACAAACTCAGCCACAGAGGTTTGATTTTCTTCTCTCATTGAGATTTATGCCTGTTTGACACAAAAAGAACAAACTTTGGGTTTATGACATCAAGTCTTGTTGAAGAATCTCATTTAAGGTTCAACCTAAAATCTAACTGGGTTTTTCCAACCTTTTTGCTTCCAACTTGTTCTCATATTTATTCTTATTGTTGGTGGTTGTAATTTAAATCCACATCATTTTTTCCCCAAATTCCTTCACCCTAGTGCCACTTATTTATAAATGGAGTGTGACATTCTTAAAGCATTTTTGGCTAGTTTTGATGTAAGGTTATTAGAACTTATGTGGATTTTACTAAATGACTGTACACATATTGTTAGGCAATGACTGTGTATATTGTTAGGATTATCATTATACATAAAAGTTGTACCATTAATTATTCAAAATAGTGCATATTTAATTGTAACACATGCTTGAAAAATGTGAAAGGGTTTCCAGGCATCAAACCCAATTTGACCTCTTAAAAAATAATGAAATTTTCTGGGGTTTAAAAATAAAGCCTTAGCGTATCAAATATTTTGTAGCTATCTGATTTGGATTAAAGAGCAAAATATTCAAAGTAAAACAATAAGAAACAAGAAAAATAACATAATTGTTGTGGTATCTGCATAGGATCAGACTTGAAAAACACAAAAGCCCTCTAAGAAACTGACGAAAAGTGTGTAGAGTTTACATATAAATTGAAAGACTTCTGTGAGGTAACAGTATCATGAATAAAATGAAAAGATAAACTACAAACAGGAAAATATTTCAGGTTACGTCAGACCAAAGCTAAAATACTTCAAGTTTTTCAAATAAAATATTATAGAAGTTCTTGAGTCCAAGAAATAATGGGCCAAGGACATGACCAGACTATTTACAAAAAAAGGAAAACAATTAGCTACAAAATATAAGAAAAATATCCAATATTACTATAACCAAATAAGTGTGATTACAACAATGAGAGATTTTTCACCTGGGAAATTAAGACTTTTAACAGCAACAACTATGACAAAGAATAATAACTAGTATTTTATTGAGAATTAAAACATGGCAGACATTACTTTAAGAGTTTTATATGATTATATTATCTCAACATCACTGAGGTAGATACTACTAATCTTAATTTGCAGATGAGAAAACTTAGGCACAGAGAGGTTAAGTTACTTTCCAAAAATCACACAATTATTAAATGGCAGAATTCCAGGTGGAGAAAGACAAGTACCAAATGATTTCACTCATTCATGGAGTATAACAACAAAGCAAAACTGAAGGAAAAAAACAGCAGCAGACTCACAGACTCCAAGAAGGGACTAGCAGTTACCAAAGGGAAAGGGGTGAGGAGTGAGGGAGAAGGGGATTAAGGGACATTATGATTAGCACACACAATATAGCAGGGGCCCAGGGAAGACAGTGTAGCACAAAGAAGACAAGTAGTGACTCTATAGCATCTTACTACGCTGATGGACAGTGACTGCAATGGGGTGTTGCTGGGGGACTTATTAACATGGGTGAATGTTGTAACCACAATGTTGCTCATGTGAAACCCTCATAAGATTGTATATCAATGATACATTAACAAAAAAATAGCAGAATTCATTAGCTGCATAATGAGGGTGCAGAAAAAGACATTTTTTGTGCAATGCAAGTGGGTAGGAAAATTAGCACAATCTTTCTGGAAAATAATTTTGTCAAAAAACATTGAGACAAATATTTTTATACTTTGACCTAGTTCCCAGTATAATGGGAGAGAGAGAAATTCCCTTTTCACTAGTCCTTTCTTCTGTGGGAAGTGGAAATCTGATTTGTACATTCTAGGGTGTTGATTGGTCCATGTTTACTACCGGATAGAATTTTCCGTGCTTTATGAGGTCAGATACTTTTCTGATTTCTCTCTTCTTCAGGGGCTGGACTGATAAGTTGAAACAATGCCTCCCTTAACAACATTACTTGCTCTATTGTTACATTTTTGAATGGTGCCTAGGTGTACTCTATCACTTTCTTCTTCTTCACTGTGTTGTGAACTAGAAGATAATATGACACAATATGGATTTAAGTTGTAAAGGAGATTGACATCTTTGAAGGACTAGGTATCATAACTCAGCCTTATCAAAGTTCTGATACTGAGTGACATTAGCGACTAGTCTAATTAATAATAAGTGGTACCTTATTTTTCACATTTCTTCTTTCACTTGTAGAACCCTAAGGGGAGGAATGACCAAAACTAGAGTAGTATTAGGAGCCCTGAGTCCCCTAGGCCTAATATCATCTAATATCCACAAATGTTGCTCCAATTTCTAAATCCAGTGCTAGGAGTCCATTCTAAATAAATACTCTAAACTGAAGAAGAATATTCACAGGAAAATATGTTTATCATATCCAATAATAAAATAAAAGCTAAAAACACACATATAGGCCAATGGAACATACAGAGCCCAGAAATAAACCCACACATAGACAAACAACTGATCTTCCACAAGGGTGCCAGGATCACAGTAAGATATTGTCTTACCCCAGTTAGCTCAGCTATATATATATCTCCCACATGATAACAAGTGTTGGTGAGGATGCAGAGAAAAGGGAACCCTGTACATGGTTAGGAATGTAAACTGGTGCAGCCACTCTGGAAAACAGTATGGAGGCTCCTCATAAAATTCAAAATAGAACTACTATATGATCCAGCAATCCCATTTCTGGGTGTATATCCAAAGGAACTGAAATCAACATCTTGAAGAGGTATCTTCACAGCTATGTTCACTGCAGCATTATTTGCAATAGCCCAGATTTGGAAGCAATTTAAATATCCATTGATGGATGAAGAAAATGTTGAATATACACACAATAGAATATTAGTCACCTTTTACAAAGAATAAAATCTTGCCATTTGTGACAACATGGATGTACCTGGAGGACATTATACTAAGGAAATAAGCCAGACAAAGAAAGACAAATACTACATTGCACCTATATGAGGAATCTAAAATAGGTATACTCATAGAAGCAGAGAGTGGTATAGTGATTGCCAGGGGCTAGGGGAGAAGGCAACAGGGAGGTATTAGTCATAGGGTACTAAGTTTCAGCAAGGGCATAGTGCCTAAATATTCAAAGAACCACTTCCTCTCCCATCATTATTTCTGAAATTGCACAAGGAAAACATTCCTGTTCTCAGCACCATCGGCCCCTAAGTCATGTCTGTCACTTTCTCTTATCCTTTCTCTTGTTGTCTAGCTGTTATTTGAGCACTCCTATTTCCTCTGTACTCTATAGATAATGATTATTAATATCATTAACAATGATGATCATCTTCCATTGGTACTTAACAAAAGTGGTTGTGCTAATGCTGTAGGGACCAATGCTAATATATTTTTTCAAAATGCACAGGGAAAACAAAGAAAAATACTTCCAAAATGTTGAGAATAATTGAGTCTGGGTGCTCATTTAAGGGTTGGGTTATTTCTCTTCTTTTCTAATGTTTTGGTGCTTTACAAGGCCACAGATTGGCTGTATAGGAAAAATACAAAAATAGGACAATCTGAACAGCACTTAATTGAGGATGCTCTAAACAAAAGTCACTTTATTGCTTCTATTTTCAGCCTTGATAAAGCAACTGGAATAAAACTAGCCCTTTTGCTAGAAAAAACCATAAAACAAAATGTGGAACAACCATTTTCAGATACTGGACAACAGCCAGCTCAGAAATTGATCCCAATATAGCAAGAAAACAAGGTGAGCTCCATGGTAATACTAGCTTTATGCCTAGAGGTACTCTTAGGACCATAGTCCATAGAGTTGGAGCCTAAGCAGAGCATGATGGTTTTGCTAAGCTGAGGAGACAGAGGTCCACAGCTGAAAGTGCCAAAGCATCTGGAAACTGAGAAAGAAGCATATCAGAAACGAGGGAGCTGCACAGTAAAAGGGCGTCAGCAATCTGAACAAGTTTTTGCTGAATGTTAAGCTGTGCATACATAGGGTAGCAATGTGCAAGATCCCAAAAGAGCAGCTATGAAGGAGGTCAGGTAAAGCAACAAGATTTTGGAATTCCAGCTAGCCAGGATTGAGAAGTCCTGGCACTGAGCTGCTGCCTTAGAGAGGTCAGATCTTAGGAATAGTGAATTATTCCCATGCATGGTCAGGTAAACCAATATTTATTAAACCAATTCTTGGGGAGTGAGGTGGGGAGGGAGAAATAGGTGAAGGGGATAAAGAAGTACAAACTTCCAATTATAAAATAAATAAGTCACTGTATGAAAAGTACAGCATAGGAAATATGGTAAATAATATTGTAATAACTTTATATCTGATATATATGGTAACTACACTTATTGTCATAAGCATTTTATAATGTATATAATTGTCAAACCATTGTACATCTAAAACCAATATAATATTATTTTTTAACTATATTTCATTAAAAATTGTGACCCATCGTAGAAAAAAAACAATCTTTCATATTAACAGATCAAACTGGGGAAAAGTAATCTCAGTAGGTTACTACAGAAGACATTTGGTAAAGCTCATCTTTCATTCCTCATAAGTACTTTTAGGAACTTTTAGAACTTGGGTGTCCTTCTTTTAGAAGGAATATGACTATACTTTTTTACAATAATAGTTATTTGAAATCAAAAGCTAACATCATGCTTAACAGTGAAATATTGGAAACATTCACATTACATTCTGGGTTAGAAAAAGATGTCTGTCTCTTTGTAAAGAACTAGTCAATGCCATAGAAATTAGAAATAGAAACTAGAACTAAGTTATAATTATCATTATTTCTAGAAGATTTTATTTTTCTGTCTGGAAGTCTTAATAAAGTCTATTGAAAACTGATCAGAAGCAATAAGAAATCTGTGAACAAACTAGTTTTATATGTATATATATATAGTTTCTTACATTAATGAGAACTAATTAGAACACATATAAAAGTACATACAATTCATAACAGCACCCTCTCCCAAATATTTAGTCGTGAATTTAACAGAATATAGTCAGAAGCAATACAGGGGGAAAACCCTTCATATTC